ATAGTCCGAAGGTTCATTGGTCCGAATGTTCACTATAGAACCTTCGGACCAATGAACCCTTGATTAAAAAATCGATGAAAATGTTACCACTTTTCGGACCAATGAACCTTCGGACCAATGAACCTTCGGACTATCGAGACGCCCCTGTTGACACAAATTAGACCAAACAAATAGAGAATCTGAGCTACATCAGGAGGAGGAATGACATGTACAAAATACTGAGAATTTCAGGGAATAAAAGAACCATGAAAAGTAAAATTACTGTAATGACAAAGTGATTTGTAAACATTTTTCTTGCAGCTGTTAACAAAGCTAGTTTTTTCCTTCTTTTTTAGTGAAGTAGACCAGTAAGGAAGGCAGGGGTGTGAGGCAGAATATATATGGCCCCTTTCTTGCCATCCCCACCAAGTCCATCTTTAATCAGCACTAACTATTACCTCATGGTAACTGTATGCCCAGAGAGCAATGATTATCCTTCTATTATTGAAGTTAGATGTTAATGCAAACCAATAAAAACTGCTGGAGACCATTACCCACCAATAGCCTTTGCTTTAACAATCCAATCTACCAAGTCATTTCCACTGAAGGAATTCTTGTGGACTGTAAACAAGCCAGCACGGTGGTTCTGTATAATATCACTGGACTTAATTTCTTTAACAAGTTTTGCATATTCATCAGGCTCACACGAAAAACCACTGCTTTCATCTAAATAAGAAAATAAAAGATATTACTCATATCAAAATTCTCTGAAATTAAAAACAAGCCAGACCCCATTGCAACATATTAAATGTAAGGCAAATGTGGTCAATTCTTTGTCCAAATCCTTCCCACAATCTCGTAACAAACCTAACATTCTCTTTCTTCTGTCCCCCACCTTTTTCGTCATAGTGAAGTTCTGTCATATTTTTTATAGCTACATTAGACAAGATGAATATTTTAACACCAAACCTCAGATAAATTCCAATGACAACTATTTCTCTATTACATTTTCCAAATAAGCCAAACAACGCAATTTTTCCATTTTGTGAAACTAAGCTTCCCTTGACACACAAACCTGGGGTTTTGTTACCTTTTTTACTTTTATCTTGATCTTGCTCCACAGCAGTGCTGGGGTCTGGTGGAACTGGAGCCTCAGGGGGAGGGGGGGTGTTCTTCACATCTTCTACAAGCTTTTCAAAATTTTCTTTTTCCTCTACCTGAAGAAAAATTAAGTTTCCTTTTATATGACTTGTGTTTTTTTTTTTTTTTTTTTTTTGGAGGGGGGGGGGGTAGAAAAAAGAGAAACGGAAATTAAAAGTCATTTTATTTTTAAAAGGGGAGGGGATTTTTTTGAAAGTCCCCCTAATTAC